TTTTTTTTTTTTTTTTTTTTTTTTTTTTTTTTTTTTTGGGGGGGGGGGGAGTTAAATAAGAATTGAAGTAAGGCCCACACACTCCATTTGGTTAATGTGTCTCTTCAATCCCCCTTTTTTCCTCCACTTTTTATTTTGAAATAATTACAGATTCACAGTAAGTTACAAAAATAGTAGGAAGAGTTTCCCTGCACATTTCACCCAGTTTCCTCTAATGGTCACATCTTAGTTAACTATAGAAAAATAATTACTGTCATTTCAGCGTGTAATCGATAGAAAAATTTACAGTTACAGCACAACTCGGTTCGGAGGAGCCGCGTTTCAGGCGCTCGGCGGCCAGATGTGGCTAATTGGGGGCCACCGTACTGGAAAGTGCAGTTCTACAGGCTGGGCATTTGGGGGGTTGGCTGTTTCGTAGGGGGCAGCGTATTGCTCCATTATTAGGGGTGCATAATGTCTCCTTTGCTCTGTACGGAGTGTGACTGGGGCAGCTGTTAAGGATCAGTGGCTAGGAGTTGCAATGTGATAGTTGCCTCTTTCTATCATTTCGTCTTCATTTATTGGTTGGCGTTCTTCTATGCAAAACAAAGGGGGGCTCGCTCACCCACTCTTTGGGCACCCAGCACACTGCTCAGGTGGGATGGGCACCCTAAATGTTTCCACTGTACCCGCCTTCAGGATAGCAGATTGTTCGCTGGAGTCGTCCAGCAGTGATCAACTTTCTCCCGTCCCCTTTCCGTTCTCTCTCTGCCTTCCCCACGGGGCTCGGAGTGGGGGAGACGCGGGTTTCAGCCTGCTCCCCTCCGCATCTTAATAACTAGCAAAACGCCTGGCATCTAGGAGGTGCTGGCCAGTGCTTCGAGACGAGCACAAGGGACATATGAGCCGAAGTGAAAAACAAACCGCGAAAATTGCCATCGAACAGGAGACGCTTGATAAGGTGCTGCTGCTTCTGTATGCTCAGCACTTGAAGGAAAGAGCTCTCTGGAGACACAGCCAAGGTGGCACATTGAAGAAAGGGCAAGGGTTTCTGTTATTCCAGAGAAAAATATATAGAAGATTATAAAAACGGATAAGCCGATGAAGTCTCCCAAATAATTGCCAAGGAAACTACCAGCTCCTCTTCTGACCATTCCCCTTCATATAATTCAGAAGATTAAATTAGCTCTTGTGGTAGGGTGGAATATAATAGTGATTTTTTTTTTTAATGTTCTAACTTTGAATAAATAGTCAAAACACCCTGGTGTGTATGTAGGAGAGCATTTATTGAGAAGGGTGGGCATTTTAAATAGAATGCATTATGTGATGTAGTGAAAGGAGACAGAATTTCTACAAAAGGGGTAATTTTATTCTAGTTCCAGAAACCAAAGAAGATGAATCATTGGGCAAGGGCACTAGAAGTCAGGAGATGGAGATTCTAGTCATATTGTCCCATAAATTAGCTTCTGATTGCTGCTTTGTTCTTCAGCTGCGAGATGAGGAATTTGGTCCAAATAATTTCCATAGGCCCTTCTAGCCAGCATGTTGTTATAAATACTTGCTCACTGTCGCTAGTTATTGGCTCTGGTTGCTCGCTAACGGTGGTAAAATATTAGTATTTGTCATTCTCGACCCTCTCACTCAGGAATCTCATGGCCAGTAACATGCTTTTGGGTAACATGCCCCAGATTGAAGTGAATGAATCTCTGTTTGGCTAGTGTGCTTGCTTAGATACCCCACCTATTAACTTTCTTTGACTTATCAGGACTTCCAGCCCACTGATAGATCTCTGTTCCACCCATTCGTTTTTCTGCTCTTCTGTCTTCATCTCCCTCCAAGTCCAACTCAGATTCAATCATCAAACATTTTAATAACTTTTTTCCAAGATCCTAAAATTCTTTGCCCCATTATCTTTCATTTGCCTCACTCTGCAAAACCCTAAAGCTTGGAGAATCTAACGAAATACTTTCTCTTATCCAAACAACAGAGCAGTAGGTATAGTATCTTTTCAGGATGACTAGCTTCTAACACATCACTGCGTCTATTTACCTCCAAAATATTTCTTGACTCTGTTTACTGCAGTCATCGCTAGAGTTACAAGACACCATTTCTCCTAGGCTTTCTGCATCTACTCTTGACAGCCTACATTTCAGCCAGTAAGGTAATCTATGTAAAAACATGAATTGAACTATGCCGGCCTCATCTTAACACTCTTCAGTGGCTTCTCAGTGCCCTTAGGAAAAGACCAAAATCCTCAGCAAGGACCCCAAAGCCCTACCTGGCAGGTCTGGCGCCGACCTTCTCTGTTCATACAGCACTTTCCTTGGCTCCCCGGACACTAGCCATACTCCTGCTTTTGGTATTGCCAGGTCTCTGTGTTCCTCTCCTGTGTGACTCTGAACATGCTGACCCTCTGCCTGGAACCCTTTCTTACCCACACCTACCTGCTCATAATGCCCCGGCTGAGGCCTAGTAATCCTTTACATTTGGCTCAGACATCAAACAAGCTTTCGCCCACATTTGGCCAGATCTCCCTTTATAAGCTCTCATGACACCATTAACTTCTCCTTCTGTAACTAAACGTTCTTTGTCATCATGGCTACCTGTGACTGTTGAATTAATGTCAACCATCTTCACAAAATCACGTGCTCCAAGAAGCTTTCTTTGAAGCAGAGGGCTGACGTTTTTATATCCAGCATCTTATAAAGTGTCTAGTACGTGGTGAACACTGAATAGATAAGGGACATTTGAGTTAAGGAAAGAAGGTAATCCTTTCGTGGTGTGTAGAGCTACGTTGTTGCCCACTGTTTTTACTTGTGGTCTGGCCCAGTATTTTCACCAGCTTTTTTTCATATCCTTAAGAAAAATACTTGTCACAAAACACTCTCCTCCCTCAAAGAACGTCACCACTCCTAATTGATGATGAGAGGACAGTTGAGCACCCTGTTTACCCAAGAGTTTTGCCATGTTGCTCGGTGCTTGTCCTTGTAGGGGAACGGCTGTATTTCCTAGCGCCCTTGTTGCCTGTGGACAAAGGAACAAAGGAAAAGCCTTGAAACCAGGCCTCTCTATCGGATCTTCTGAATTCACTCAGCAAGGCAGAAAGGAAACACAATCAGCAGAAAACTGTCAAGATCTTGTCTTCGATGGGTTTTGTAGTTTTAGACTTTCGTTTTACTTTGCCGTGTTTCCAAGATTATAAATTACCTTGTTCTTTGTGGGTTCCTTGATTCAAATGCTGTTTGTATAGAATGTTTGGTATTTCGATGGGTTCCTTGTTATCGGAAACGTGTTCCCCTTGCATTTGGTGTGTCGCTTTTTTTAATCGCCTGCTTACTATTTATCGGAAATTATTAAATGCCTTCGGTTGTTGCTTTTTATGGGAATACAAGTCCCATTAAAATGTCAGAAGTTGAAAGTATAATCAAATATTTTTTTCACTTTTCTATAAATCAGGATGTTATAAATCAGGTAACTTATATTTTCTTTGTATATCATTGCAGATTCATGATAAAATTTTATAGCAAAATATACCATGTCTTGTACTCTATACTGAAAGTGAAAACACAGAGTCCATCTCAGTTACCGTGCTGGAGGGGTATATGGCTTTCCTGCGGGTAAAATTCCAAGACAGTTCACACAGGGAGTTGGGGACTACAGTCTCATTCCCGAAAGCAATTTTGACACTCAGGGGAGTGGATCTAGGTTCCTCAAACCAGCTGGGCAGCATATCAACTGCAACCGGAATGGCTCTCAAGACTAATTAATAAAACAATGCTCCATATGCAGTGAAGTGTTATAAATAATTAAAGCTCAAATGTGCCTTAGCAAATATAAACTGACCAATTTTTATATCTTTTGAATACATTATCCTGACTTTTCCAGTTCCTCATTACTTGCCTCACTAGACTGACTCGTTTTCAATTAGTGTGTATTATTCTGGTCCAGATATATTTTTTTTAAACTGACTTCCTTTGTTTTACTTGAGCAGTCACTAAAGTGATATTTATTAC